ATTTTGCTCTGGGGCCCAGAAATTATGTAGCCATTCCCGAGGGTAGGATTGATTTATTTTTTTTAAAAAAGCCCATCCTTTTGAAAATCTCTATTCTATTAGCCAGACAGAGAGTCTATTTCCAAAAGAAATAGTAAAAATAGGAAAGAGAGATGACTACTGCTGTGTATTCTGTTCTTGGTCACTTTTCTCCTCAGTAATTAAGAGATATGCCTTAATTATTACCAAGAAGCAAATAACATGTTATAATGGGCAAATGCTCATCTTTTATACACTGGGTCTTGGCATCTATTTGTTTAAATAATTACTGACTTTAAGAGGCCTTTATAGGTTGTTGCTAAAATAAAGTCAGCTTTCTGCTGGTTGATACAAATATTGTCTTTCACCTACGTGATCACACACACAGCCCTGTATGTGAACTTACAGCTGCACTGGACATTATAGTCAGGCCTCGAGTCATTTGATTTTATAGAATTGAGAGACTTTTATTCATTTATGCATTCACTGAATACATTAATACATTCAACAAATAAAATAACAACATGTCCTATATGCCATTGGCTATAAAACTGTAATAGTAATACAGCAATAACCATCCACTATGTGTTTTATGAGTTAGTTATTTAAAGTTGCATAATCCTGTGATCATTTACAGTAAATTGTGTAAGTTATTTCTCTTCTTGCTTTGGCTGGCTAAGTAAACTTATTAACTTGATAATATGAAATGGATTAGTTGCTGTCTTGCTATTAAATATCGTTTGCTACTTTTCTTAATTTTTGCTCAAGAGTTTTACTTTTCAAGGGATGTTTACACATGTTTTTATTTAAGCTATGAGGGAAGGCAGATGGGAAACTTTCGAGGGGAGTAGAAATCCTCAAAGAAAACTGAAGTTCTCTTGTTTTGAGGCTTTTTTTGCTGAATTTATCCCCCAAGATACATTATTAATTAAATGACAGCCACGAAGCTTCTGTATGTATGTGACCTCCTCCCCCAGGTTCGCACCAGCATGAGTTCCTTTGCAGGTTCCATGGCATTTTGTTTTTAACCTCATAAGTAACTCACTATCATTTTTAAGTGTGGACCTGTCTCATTTCCTCATCTCCAGAGTGTCGTGACC